TGGCTGTGCAAAAAATGCACAACTTTACGCTCACACACACGCTCAGTGCCATCGAGGACACTGCGACGACGGACCTTGCGGCTGCCTATGACGTGCCCACCCTCGAGCGCGTCGAGCGTAAGGTGACCTTTTCTCGTGTCGGCGCGGGTCAAGTCTCCATCCAAGACACTGTCGAGATGAAACCCGGCGCTTCGGTGGATTTTGAATCGGTGTTCACACCGCTTGGGACGTGGACACCAACAGGGGCCGCCAGCGGCCTCGTCACGTCCAACACTGGCGTGACCGTTAACGTGTGCATCACCGCGTCGGCTCTATTTACGATCGACGCTAGAGTGCTCACAAGCTACAACGTGACATGGACTCGGGTCGGAGTCAAAGTCGTGTCGACCAAGCGGTCCGAGAAGGTTAAGATCACGGTACTTCCAGGGTCGACGGCTTGTCCATAGAGAACGATCGAGCTTGAACGAGGGACGGAGTCCGGATTGAAAAGAAGGAACTATTCAATTCATGGCATGTGGGGGGCATTTCTAGCATGGTGCCACTAATGGATTCGTCTTGCACTGGCAGCAGCACGAGTTGTTCAATGGGAAATAGTACGTAGCCGTCTTCGCAGTTGCATCGATGCTGCGTTTTCGTCCAGCATGTGGGTGACAAATACGCTTCTAGAACCAACGTCGATTGGAACGAGTAGACTGGCCAGCTCACTGTGAACGATTCGCCCGCAGGGTCGGGAGGTTGGCAGCAATGTAGCTGAAGTCACGAGGTCGTCTGCACAGTACGAGCTCAAATGAACCGGATCACTCGCGCCCGTCGCCAAGCCACATCCTTGACAAAGGAAGAGGTTCATCCGTGCGGAAAGAAGTGTCGGCATGTATGTCCGTTGAACGCCGTCCGCGCTGGAACCATCAAGTACGGGCTATCGTCGCCGCCGTTCTGTTGCACCGAACTAAGACATGCACAGGTTGTAGCACTGGACATGGTCCACGTCGTCATGTCCGCGACGCCGCATGCGACTTATGGGATTCGTGGGAAGACGTGGCGACCGCACAGGATAAACACATCCCATCCGCAAATACCGTCCTATTCCTCCAGAGCGGCGTCGTTTAGACGGAGCCAATGTATCGACCCGCTTGACGTTGTTGGACTCGGCGCGACACTTTTTCCCGACCAGATCGAGACAAGTTCCACTCGTTCGACGATAGGGCCAGGGTTGCCTCGTTTCATGTGCCGCCGTCCATCGATTGGTCAGGCTCGTCACATGGGCCACTCGTCCCAGCATCCAGGTGCTGGAAACAGGACCGGGCCATATCCGCGGGGCGGTCGGAAACCGGCTCATGCTGCCGTCGCGACGACAGGACGCCAACGACGCGAGCGTGGGGTGGTGCCCAGTGCACCGTGTTGGATTCCCGACCGTCGCGTACCCCATGGATCGACGCAACTCGTGCGCTCGGAGCGCAACATGCCACACTCGTGGGCAACTTCCCGTGCGTGTATCTTTGGCCGTCTCAGACCAGCCCGTATCTGGGTGGGCAAAAAACCCGCCGTGGCTGCACGTCGGCCTGTGGGTGGTGTTTCAATGGGGCAAATGCATTTTTACGACAGGACGTATACAAACGCCAAGGTATTTTTTTTTATCCCAACAAGTGAAACCCATAAAGTCGGTACCGTCACGCCATCCAGATGGTATCCATGGATGCTCCATCAAGACGACGGCTGTTACCGCCGCCGCCGCAGGTGTTGGCAACCAAAAGTGCCGTCTTTATCCTACACAGGAGGACGGCGCGTGATCGTTGTCACTTCTCAATTGCCGTTGTGCAGGCTACACCATGAGCAAGAACACGGAAAAGTCGCTGCTCCTCAAGCCGACGGACGTGACCCCGATCCGTCAAGAGCTTCGCGAGCTCGCGTCGATGGCTGTTCAATTGTCGCTCCGTCAAATGGTCCGCCAGGTTATGACGATCACCGACGCTGCGTTCCAAGGCCACATCGGGACCAAGCAGTTGGCCGGTGTCGCATTGGCCGGCATGTGGATGGGTGTCCCGTCTGCCTTTATTCAGTTTGCCATCGGGGCCATCTCGACGCTGTGTTCGCAGGCGTATGGCGCCGGCAACAACCAACTTGTCGGCGTGTGGCTCCAGACTGCAATCGTGTTTGCCGTCGCGGGCGCGATCCCCGTGATGATCTGGTACATGTTTGTCGGCGACATGATTGCGTTCACGATGGACGACGCGGAAACAGTCGAGTACGGGAGCCAATTCGCGCGTGTGATGGCGCTGGGCCTCATCCCACAATATACCTACGGCGCGCTAACAACGTACTTTGCCACGCAAGGCGTGATCATGCCCGCGACGCTGTGCAGTTGCTTCACGATGGTCCTCAACATCGTGTTCAACCAAGTGTTTATCTACGGCGCGTACGGATGGGGCGGCTTCGGCTTCATCGGGTCACCGTTGGCCACCGTTGCCAGTACGTTCGTGCAGCTGGTGCTCTTTGTCCTGTACACGGTCGTGATTAAGGGCTACCACAAGAACTACTGGGGAGGCTGGACATGGGACTGTATCAAGAAGGAGCGCGTCCAAATCTTCCTTGCTCTCGCGATTCCCATGGGCGCGTCGTCGGTTGTCGACTGGGCGTCGGCGTCCGTCGCGGGTGCGTTTTCCGGCTACCTCGGCCCCAACATTGCTGCTTCGAATGCTGTCATGAACGGTCTCTTTGGCGTTGTCAACTCGTGCGTGAGTGGATTCTCCGGTGCGACGCAGATCCGCATGTCGCGTTACCTCGGCAAGGGGAGCGCGGAAAGCGCCAAGCGCGTGTTGTACATGGGCGTGTCCATCGTCATGGGGTGCTCGGTCGCCCTCCTCTTTGTTGTGTTCCCGTTCCGTCGCACGCTGTTTGGGATCTGGAGTAGCGACCCGGTCATTGTCGAAATGTGCTCGGACACGATTGTCGTGTTTGTTGTGTGTATCTTGGTCGCGTTTATGCGCTTCCTTCTCACGGCGTGCATGAACGCGCTGTCCAAGGCCGACTTGAACCTCCTCGCCAACAACATTGCGTCGTGGTGTGTATATGTCCCCCTCAGCTACGTCTTGCCGATCACGCTCAAGTGGGGCCTCGACGGGTTCTGGATTGCCGACACCCTCGGGGAATTTATCAAGGCCGTGATTCTCATCTGGGGCGTCTTCCGAGTCGACTGGAACGTGGCTGCCAAGGAAGCGCAGAATGCCGCCGAAGCTGGTGACGTCGAAGCCGACGAAGAGCAGGAACTGAACCAAATGAAGAACGAAGCGCTCATCACCCCCACGGGCCTCAAGAGTCCTGCCAGCACCCTTGGCATGACTCCCGGTCGCACCCCCACCGCGATCCGTCGCTCGCTCAACGCCACCCCCAAGACCAAGCGAACCGCAAGCTTGCATGTGTGAACGTCGAATGAAACGACGTTGAAATTGTCAAAGAGTTTGTTGAGTACTACATCATATCTACCACCAGACAAAGCAGTGCCTTGCCGGGTGAGGATAAAACAAACATCTAATTCCACGATCGTCGCGAAGTGTACATCGTGAGCAAGTGAAGCCAATACTGTTTTGTGAATGGTGCTGGTGAGTGCACACGAAGGATTTGATTGACCTGACGAAGCAGGGTGTCGACGAGGAAGTTGGAATAGGCCAACACGCCACAACCACCTCATGATCCGCTCAGAGCACCTTGCACATAGCCTAAGCAAAGGATGTGCGCCATCCGTTTGAGATTCAATTCGAGCCGCACATCCAAGCGATGCAAGATTGCAGCACATCAACCAAGCACCGCAACAACGGCTGGACACGCAATACCAGCCATGACACCGATACAGGCAGCAACGCAAACAGCTCAGACAAGCCTCGCGTGCTCACTGGGAGCGTGACCATCGAGGATGCGGCTTGCTTCATATGGCAGAGAGTGGGCAATGGTGAACACATTATTTCCATCTTCTCCCACTCGAAATTCAGAGACGTCCTACAGAACTGCGTCTGGCAGAATAAAATACATTTCTCGAAATAAAATTACTTCGACGTATGAAGCAATTTGAATTATATTATTTACTCTTCCAACCCAGTAGTACTGTAGTACAATATTGCATGCAGAGCCCAACACTCCCAACCGATGCACTTACAATCACATCGACAATACCAACATTCTACGATGAGATAGTACTCCGGAGTATTCTATTTTCCAAAAGTAACAAGTATTTAATCCAGAAAGAACAATTTTTTCATTTTTCTACTATCCGGATACGAATACGACTCTTATCCGTATAAAACACACTCTCCCACAGGAACACACACGGTTCAGCAGAGCCGTCCCATTCGAGGAAACCTTCCCCTCCGCTAAAGCAGCGCCGTGATGGCGTCCATGACTGTGTCTCCGCACTCTACACGAGAGTCCTTGAAGCGAACGCGCATGGTGGCGTCTCCCATCGACTCGGGGTTCCCTGTAATTAACGAGGATGCGTCGGCGCGGCTCATCAAACGGCGCTGCATTCCACAGGACGTCCCCTGTGAGGACGACTTGCCCAAGTACACGCAGCGGCAATTCGAATACATCGAACAAGTGAAAATCTCGGACTTGAACCGACTAAGGTAAGCCATCTTGAGTTGGATAGATAGTTCGGTGTAATGTGTTGAATCCTCACGCCCTCGACATGTAGAACGGAGTGTGAACAGATTCTCCTGCGTAAAGACAAAGAGATGCAAGAGATGCGCATCGCGCTTGATCGACTCCGCGAAACATGCATGGGGCAAGCGAAGGAGTTTGAGAAAATTCAAGCGGAGAACAAGATTCTGCGGCGCGCTGTGACCATCCAAAACCAACAGAAGGAGGAAGCGACACAAGAGAATGCAGCGTTGAAGCAACTTGCTGTTCAAGCGGCGGATCACATCAAACGACTCGAACAGACCAACTACGCTCTACGCGTTCATCTGCACACCAGCAGCAATGATCATGGCACGTCCAGCCACTTCTCACCGGACGTGTACTAAACTGTTTGATTGCCCGCTGGTCCCATCATATTTGCGCCATCTCCACTACTTATGTATTTCGCCCTAGCTCCATTCTCTCTTTAACTATAACTCGCTCAATATTAACGAGATATGTCTTTATCGGCGGCGATGACAAAAAATGCTAGAATGGGGACGAAGTGCGCTCAAAAGCTGCTGCAGCAGTACGAACTGCTGGGCTTGCTCTGTATGGTCGCGGCATTCGCTGCCGTGGCGCGGAATACATCTTTCCGCGGCTCAGCCTTTTTCTCAAAAATGTCGCGATGCTGCAACACCGCTGCCACGAGCGCCTTGTTGGCCTCGTCGATGTTCTTGTTGTCCTTTGCAGAAGTGTCGAACCAACCTGCAAAGCCATGGGTTGCGCAAAAATCGTTCATGAACTCGTGGTCAATGTCACCCGCCAAGTCGGCCTAGACCAGTACTGATTTCGATGCTGCCAAAGTGGATGACGGATGTACCTTGTTTCCACAGAGAACCACAGGCAATGGTTTGCGGTTAGGTAGTTCGACTTTAGTATCGATTTCTTTCTTCCACTGCGGAGGACGACATGAGATCACCGCCCTGGAATGTTCATGTTCATGCCATCGTACCTTTAACACACTCTCAAACGTATCCTGGCGCGACAGATCGTAGACGACGAGGGCACCGAGGGCATCTTTGTAGTACACACGATTGAGTGCCCGAAAGTGTTCTTGCCCCGCAATATCCCACAACTGGAGGCGCAGCGTTGTGTTTTGCACCGTCACGGGCTTAAGGGCAAAGTCGACGCCGATGGTGGTCTTGTGGTGCTCCGAGAATACGTTGTGGACATACCTCTTGATGATGCTCGTTTTTCCAGTCGCAGCATCCCCCAACACCAGTACTTTGACTACAGCATCCTGTGCTGCCTCGACACGACCGCCGTTGGCGGTGGCTGGTGCGCTCATTTGTTCGAATTCCTCCCAAGCTCCAATTCCCTTCGGATCGCTTTTCCTTCTCGTTCGTTATCCGGACAACTGGCGACAGGTCATCTATGAGAACGTTGGTTTCACACTATTTCGTAGCGGATTACACACACTATTTTCCACATTTTGACTAGTACTACAGTAATGCGAGCACCACTCAAGCAATACTACTACTAGTACGAGGCATCAATATCCTAATCGATTTGGAATTGATTCGTCAGTACATTGAGCCCAATGAATGTACTAGTACTAATTGCGAAGTACTACAGTAGACTGGGGTGGTAATACAAGAACGCAAGGGCGTACCTACATACAGTACACTCAAACGCCAAGCACCCGTTTGAATTAACTCCGATTCTCGTCGTCTTCGTCTTCTGCGACGACCCGCACGTCAGCCACAACATGCACTTCGAACCAACTCGCCCACTGCTTCATCAGGACTTCCAAGTCATGCTTCCGTTTCTTGCCATTCACAACTAGCTGGATTCGCAAACGATGAATCACTTGGTTCCCTGGCACGGTCACGACCGACGCGTTGGTTTCGTTTGGTCGCAATGCACACAGCATCACCGAGTCTCCAACGTCGTTCTCGTACCAGACTTGCACGGACGAGAACGGGAGACTCTCCTCGTCGACTTCGACGGGGTACCCGCTGACGTGGTGGGGGGTCTTGACCACCAGCGACATCGCGTTCACGTTGAGCTCGACATTGCGAGCGACTTCAAACTGTGCTGTTTGCTGGTCGCGCAAAACAGTAGTCCAGATTTGGGCGGCGTCAACCGTCTCGACCCAAGCAGGAAGGGGATCGACGAACGGCCGCTTCGTGCACTTGAATCGGTGGCTCGACACGGCGACACCTCGGGCGTGCTGGTATAGCTCGTCGTCCGTGAGCAAGCACGCCGTCAAGCTCTGACTCAACTTGGCGTCGTTCAGGTTTGTTCCGATCAGCACGATTTCTTGCTTTCGGTCGCCGAAAGGTTCCTCAAAGTCGCTCTTGATCTGTTCCTTTTCGTCGTCGTTGGTCACGTCCCAGTCCTCTTCTGGGACCACACACCACCACGGTTGAATGGGCGCGATCGACAGCAGACGGCCGTGGTGGTTCCATTCAGCCATCGTGTCGTCGCGCCCGGCAATCCAGCAAAACCCCTTGGACCGCAAGATTTCCCCCTCGTCAAGCTTCTCGGTTGCGGCGGACGGTGCGTCGCTCATGTGGTCGAAGTGGCCATTTGACTTGAACCGGAACCGACGCGCCGCCCACTTGTGCAAGCGCTCGGGGTGAAATGGCCGCCGCGCGCGAAACACATATGACCCGATGCCGTATTCGTCCTTCTCGCTCATCCCAGTGCCTTGTCTCAGCGACTCCATCCACCCTGCCGAGTTTTTCGCTTGTTCTAAGTCAAACCGCTTCGTGTGGACGACGTCCTCGAGATCGATAACGCAATGAGTGGTTTCCACAACCTTTGCCGTCGGGTTGAGGGTCCGAACGAGTCGTAGGACGGCGGCGCGATCGGTCGCGGATTGCACAAGGTCCATCTTGTTCACAATAATAACGTTGGCAAACTCAACTTGGTCGATGAGCAGCTGACTGATCGGCTTGGCGCCCTCCGCTTGATCGTCCGTGGCTTCTGTGGGGAAGGCTTGATCGAAACGGCTCGTGGATTGTAGCATCGTGGGAAACTCCACCGCATCGAGCACAGTCACGCAAGTGTCGAGGACGGCCAAGTCCCACAGCATGTCGGTTCCTTCCCCGGCCAACTCGGCGGTCGCCGGATCAAACGTGAAGCTCTCGGCAACTTGAAGCGGCTCGGCAATGCCCGTCGATTCAATCACGAGGTAATCGAACGCGTGCAAGCGTTGCAACTTGGCGATTTCGCGGACGAGGTCCCCCCGCAAGGTGCAACAGATGCACCCGTTTTGCATCGACACAACTTCTTGCTTGGTCTGGACGAGGCCAGCGCCATTGTGGATGAATTTGGCGTCGATGTTAAGTTCCGCCATGTCGTTCACGATCACGGCAATGCGCAACTTGTGCGCGTTGGACTGTAAAATATGCTTGAGAAGCGTCGTCTTGCCAGCGCCGAGGAAACCAGATAGCAAGGTGACGGGAAGCCGCTTCACAGTGGCCTTGTCCTTGTTGACAGCGGCCCCCTTACTCTTGGAGTGTGTGCGGGCACCATGACGCTGCTCGTGCTCGCTAGTTGTGTGCTTGTGGGTGTTCAATGGAGCCATCGTTCAAATTTGAAAATGCACGCTGCAATCTTGCGGCCACGGTCGGCCCGACTCCGACGGCGGATGTGGCGACTACGTTCACTTGCTGTCATGATTGGCACAGCGCACCTTTGTCGGCTAAATCCTGCCAATAGGTACCTTGGCTCCCGTCGGATTTCTCCGACGGCGGTCCATGACGTGGACAACTGTCAACGAAAGGTGCGAAAGCTACACTCGGAAGGTTGCATTACCGAGAGTGCTTGCTAAAGCGGGGGGAGTCGTGGCTTGGGGGGGGCACCTCTCATGCATCATAGATGGTATTGTGATGTTAAAGTTATCGTCAGGAGCATTCCATCGTGCTGCCGGGGCACAAGTGAAATTTGGATGAACGACAAGCACCACGGAGGTATCCGACGGCGAAACTGAATGGCGCGCAGTGATTGGCTTAGCTGATATGGTCAAAGGGCGCTGACCAATCGAAATGCATAAACCTTTCGACCGATTCAA